ATTGCTATCTTTTCTCATGTATTATTATAGTTTGAGTGTGAGTGTTCATCATCTTTGTTTAACTCACAATTGTTTTAAACTAACTTTTCAAGTAAAATTAACTTATTAAAAAATGAGCAACCGAAGAGATAATGTTTATAGAAGGTTGAATAACCTGTAATGAGGTAATTTAATTTAATCAGTGGTTCTTTCATTTGCTAAATGTTAAATGAATATAGAAAACTTAGCTCCCACAGTCCGACCGTCTATACCCATATTGGTTAAATCCAAGCTCCAGATCAGGTCGTGAAAAAAGTGGTATCACATACAAGGTTGAAATTAATTAATGCAATCTTGATGACAAAGCCAACTGGGTAATTATAAGAAAATTTTATTAATAAAAATTATAAATTCAAGTTAACTTAAATTAATAATTATATTCATTCGTACATAGTGATACTTCCAAAATTATAGAAGAAGGGCCTGATAGAAAATGAAGTATAACCTACTATAAGTGTGAGCACAAATGTCTGGACCCAAATGATGGCGGCGATGAGTTTGCTGAGTCAGGAGTCCAAATTGCACCTTATCAAAAGTGATGCACTTGTTGTGGATAAGTACTTGAAGATATTTCAATATTTACATCCATTATTGTTTAAGGGAAATAAAGATTCAATTGAAACAGAGAATTAACTAATGTGAATTGAGAAGATATTAGATAGTATAGCTTCCGGATGAAACAAGAGTGTCATTAGTTACATTTGTGTTGGATGAAGAAGATGAAATGTGGTGACCTAGGCAACATCAGGATAAGTTAGGGGACATACCCAATATGATGGTCAGTTGAGAGAAGTTTGTTGAGCTATTCAGAGAATAGTTTGTACATCTTTCTGCTTGAAAATAAATGCAAGACATGTTCAAGTTGGGCAGATAGAGAAGACAGGCATGTAGTACGAAACGAAATTCACTGCATTATCAATGTATGTGCCACAATTGATCACTGTTGTAGAAGAAAAGTGCTATAGATTCCTTTCGAAATTAAAAGATTCAATTGGACAGCTGTTGGCACCCGTAGGGATTGATGAATACCCTGTATTAATGGAATGAGCTAGAAGAGTGAAATTTGATTGCCGACTTACTTAGAAGCATAAGGAGACTCATAAGTGGAATAATATTGATGAAGGAGAACATGTTGATCAATCAAAAGGATCGAATGGGAAAAAGTCCAAGTTCAATTTAGGTGGATTTAGCTAAGGTACGACTCAAACTACTTTAGCCACTTATGCCAAATGCAGAAGAAAATATAAGGGAGAGTGTTAATGGCTATAACACATGTTGTTGGTGTCGTCAACATGATAATTTGGCAAGATATTGTCCATATCTTGGCCAGAAGAACGTTGAAGATCAGAAATCAGGTCGATATCCTTCACAAAAGATTGCAGGTGGGCAAAAAATGATAGAGTATAGCTTCAACTCCTACCCAAAGTCAACCAAGCTAACCTGTAAAAACTCGGATATATTCCATTACTCATAGTGAACCTAAAGAACCTATTGCTGCTGATGGTGATGAGTTTTGATGAGTTTGACATTTTTTTATATGTGTATTTTTCTAGCATACTTTCTTGCTTTAGTAACTATGTGTTATGCAAACTATAGTTGAGTCGTCTTATATCGAGTATTTACCTCTCAATCAATTCCATTAATAGTTATTGATATTTTTAAATTCATCAATTTATGACAATTTATTGTTCATTTTTAGTAGTTCTCTAAACATTAGGTACCCTTATAGTAAAAATTATATATATATATTATATCAAAGAGAAAAGATACAGATATGTTGTAACCACTAGATCTGGGTAGGGAGTTTAGCAGCATACTGAGATGTGGGCTTCCGTCCAAAAGTATGGACAGTCATCTTGAGAATTACTGAGACGCATCATTCCTTTTCTTCTTCTTCCTAAAATTGTAAACCTGTCAATCATCTGCCAGAGGTAGTCCTATTGAACAGTAGGTGGATCTTTGATGGAGAGCTCACCCCGGGGGGTATGTTGATCTGTAAACTAATGATTTGACTCAGTCTGTAACACACCTTCTTGACACTCCTCCAGAATTTGAGTACCCTTTTCTCTCGCAATAGGTGGTTCCAAGATACTTCGACTATCATCTGCTACAACAAAATTCGTAGTGTTTGTGATCTGAGGAAGAATTGCCTCAACAACAATAGGTGAAAACTGCTGATCTGGTTGGTGAGGAGTAGCCTTATTAGTTAGATTTTGATTCAATATTTCTTGAAAATTAACAGTTTCTGCTATATTTTCCTCCACATGGATGATGTTGTTAGGACCTATCGATCTCAAATGTGGGTGAAGCCTGAATCATTTGACAGGGGTGTGCCCAAACAGTTTACAGTGATTGCGGTAGTAGGGTCTTTGTTCTGCAACAATTAACTGCAAATACCCATTGTGGGCAGTACCAAGCCATATTTCGTTCACATCAGAGAGTGTGATATCCCTGGGGTGTGATTTCCCTTTCAACAAGAAATCTTGCAACCCAAGGCCTGATGATTGAATGTGGGTGTATCCAATTTCATAGGTCTCCCTAGTGCAGCTCCAATAGAATAGAGGACTTGGCGATTGAAGTAGTGCAACTTTAGGCCAGGTAGTTTAAACCAGATTGGAACTATAGGTGATTCTTGGTTAGGGTCAAATTCAAGAGACCACTTAAGCAGTTTCATATATTTCTCATGTATTGTCATAAACTTTTTGAAAAATATTTTGGCGTAGTCTTCCACTTTAGATAATTATATCATCATATGTCTCTCATCAAAGAGACCAACCTTTCAAAGTCCCAATAGTTAGTCTTAATAGTTTGAGATCTTCAAAAGCCTTTCGAACGATCCATTTTAGGATGTCCCGATTGAAACTTCCCAATGAGGGTGAATTTGCACTTGTCAACCAAGTTGGAAACTTCAACATCAGAGAAGAATAGAGCTAGTTTGCCACTCTTTTTACACGTCTTCTTGAAAGGTTGCAGTCCTCCTGACGTTCGAATGATTCATGATAAACCTGAGGGAAAATCCAATCCATTGATCCCACAGAACCAACAATATCAACATAAGAAGCCTTCCCAATGTTTAAAGCTGAAGCAGTCAGTGGTTGAGGAGGAACAGAAGCCATAGAGTTGAGTGTTGAACAACGGGTAGCTCATGGGTTTGAGTCGTGACTTCAACCGGAGCTCTTTGCTGCTTGATCCGTATAGCAGGGATCAAGCAACACGTCACAAGAAGGATCGCAACTATGTTATGTCATAAGATAAGTATGAATGATATTGATTGTATTATATATATATAATCTATATATTTGACTATGATGAAGTCACTCTTTTATAGTACTTGTGGGGGAACGTTAAGATATCCGCGCACGTAAAATGTTGATATGAAAGGATTTTAATTAGTACAATTTTTAGATGGTGCTCCTGTCACGATTGTACAAACATAGACTGATATAGACATATTATTAATATGTTAAAACCCATTGAATAGAATGAAATATCGTAAGTTATCATATTCATAAGCTATTAAATATTTTATATTAATTTATTTAAAGCTTAAATGACATTTATATTATTTTTTTTATTTTGCATTATTGTAATTTGTGAGTGTGAGTACTTACCGGTTTTGGTTAGCTCATTATTGTGTTAAACTAACTTTTTAAGAATAATTAATTGATTAAAAGATAAAAAATATAAGATAAAATATTTATAGAAGACACAGACAACCTATAATGAGGTAAATTTAATTGCATTGCTTTAATTTAGTTTTTTTGTGGCTCATTCAATTATTAAATGTTAGTTATAGGAAATGATTATAGAAAATTTAAATTCCCACCGTCCGATTATTTGTACCCGCCTTTGTTAATTTCAAGCACCAGGTTAGGTCATGACAGGAAACCCCTCCCATTGGGCGGCAACAACTCCAAACCCTAAGCAGGGTTTTGCCGATTCATCCTCCCTGCTGAGCTGGCATCCTCCTTGTTGTACTGGTTGGGTTTGTTCTACCCCTAACCCCCACGTCACTCTTCAATATCTGCATTTACACCTACCTAAAAACTGTTGTTTTGAGACCTTTTATTTCAAAGCAAATATAGAACTCTTCAAATTTGTTCATATATTTAATATTGATTCTTGCTTAAAAAATTAGAAAGATCAATTAAACGGTCATGATATGATAATGAACTACTTTTTGTTTCTCAGGTGAATTTAGGTTCTCTAGGACACCTTTTCTTTTATTTCACTTATTCAATATATTTTATCATTTCAAACTAATTTTAATTGTCAAATCTAACTTTTTTTCTTATTGGACATGTATTTCTATACAAAGAAATTATAATCCATATCCTTAATTTTATTAGAAAAAGTCTTACCATCCATCCTCTCAACCATTGTAAACACATACCTCAATTTTAAATCTTTACATAGTTATTTCATCTTCTATATACATTTGGTCCATATTATTGTCATTGGCCTCATTATTATAACATTTATAAGGTCTTGTATTCTGAATATTTCTACCACGTTGGTTCCTGATGTTGCTTGACTTAACATTGGTATTGCAATGTTTCAAATAATAGAAACGGTAGAAGCCCCGTCCCCAGGAAATAGAATCCAATACTAAAATCTAGTCGCAGAGATTAATTTTTTAGTGGAATATTAGTCATTATCCAAAAAAAAATCAAAATATAAAATTCAAAAGTGAAATTGATTTACATGACACTCATTTTTTAGTTTCTCACCCTTTCTTCCTTTCTTTCTTTCTTTTTTCCCTAGTGGGAAGATCATGTTTGTATAAGTATTTTCCTCATGCTTTTTGCAACCTGATGGCTTGTGATCATTCTATCTTGCGATCACAAGTGATGGCCCTTTCTATTCATGAGCAATTATCAGTATATCCTTCCTAGACGATTTATGTTGGCTTTCACATTTCATGCACTTTATTGATTTTCATTTTTTTGTAATTAATTTAGCCCTGAAGCATGTGCAGCAATCTTGTGGAAATCTTCTCAAGCAGCTCCAAAGGTATTCTGATATTATTTGCATAAATGCTGTTACAATACAGTAGAATGCCAGTTAACAATGCCAGTCATCATTGAAGGCAGCTCAGAAACTGAAGATCACAGCAACAGAGCTATGCAAGCTCAAAATTGCAGATGGGATTATCCCGGTATGCTCTTGAACGTTTTGTGAATTTTTTTTTTTTGGCCTTGTACTATTTGAATTATATGAATGCGTCTATATTTCCTTGTAGAGCAACCACTAGATTTTAAGATAGTTACTCCTATTGAATCTGTTATTAGCATGGACCATGAAGAGCAAACTTGCATATAGATGTATCTTGTGAGCTGGGCTTTTAATTTGGCTTGAAGATCACAGTTCACGAGAAAATTATATCAATTTTTTGCTTGAATTGATCTCAGATAAAAGTCATCAATCTGAATAATGAGCGTACTTTGATTAGGATGAAAATTGAATCGCGCCTAGATTAGATCACACTATCTCACGCTCAGATTGGGAAGAATATCTTTTACGTATGAATGCGTATGCACATATTTATCTGTGTATTTTGATATGAATGAATGTATGTATGTATCTATCATTTATATATATATGAATCTATTAATATATGCGTGCATGCATATATTTTGGATTAATAATTTCCTTTAGGAGTTCAATAGTTAATCAAGGTTGGATCAATTTTTTGCTCGACTCAAACTCGGATCAAAGAAAATGGGTTTGGCTTGAATTGGATCCAAAGTCTGAGACAATCTTCAATTGAGATTGATTTCTTAACAACCTTATAAGTTGCCACAAAAGACTTTGTCAAGGATTTTATTCATATTTATTCCAAATCCAAATCTATTTTAATTTCTAATTGCTAAGGAAAAACCAACTTTCTTCCCTTAAGAGCCTCCTTGATGTATAAGCAAGCACTGAAAAGTAGTTAAAAAAGGGACTCAAATGTCAATTTTTTTAAGATAGCTATTTTAACTAGAGCTGTTTTTTAATATATAGGCCATGTTTTAGTTAGATTTATGAGTGATACTTCTTATGGACGTGGTTGTGTTTCTTGCGCGGGATGTGGAACGCAACAGTCTCCAACTGTCGAACCGGGACGGGGGCATGAAGTCTGAACCGGCTAATAGGACCGGTCTAGATGAGGGGTGGGAGGTTTGACTAGCCTCTTGCGGTTTGGGATTTGTCGCTCAACATAATGGGAACCCTCTTTTGTTGCCTAATATTATTTATAGGTGTTTTGTGTGTGCTAGGTTCAGTTTTTTGCTTTTAGATTTCTGTCAGGACAGACGTCAACGTTTTATTTTTTCTCCTACGGTATCAGAAGAAGAGAAGGTACTCCGGCTGTAACTCATCCCGAGATGGTGTTTATCGTTGTTCTCTGCTTCCTACTTCCTACAGTCTCTTCTTCGTTGTCGTCGTTGTCATGGCAGCCTTCCAAACCACCTCCGATTCATTGTCGACTAGTCCAACCACCCTCTGCTTGTTGCCACTTCTTTTCCAGCCACTCCTCGCCGTCAGCCTTTCAAACTGCCTCCGGTTCATTGTCGACTTGTCCAGCCACTCTACCTCGCTGCTAGCCTTCCAAATTGCCTCTCGATCATTGCCGATCAATCCAGCTGCTACCCCTACTTGTTGTCGCTTTTCCGGCTACCTCCCACATGCTACCACCCTCCTTCCAACTACCTCCAATCCATTTTTAGCCTTACTTCCCCTTCAACCCCAGCACCTTCATTTTCGCTTTCAGCCGTGTGTTTGTTTTCTTCTAGTCCTAAGTGTCTTTAATTTTAACCCTATTTATTTATTGAGTAATAATATTTGATTTCCCTATTATTGTTTGAGTTAACTCTGGTATTATTTGGCATCAGAGCTAATTTTTCCTAGTCCTATCCTAGAATTTCTAACATCCCCCCTAAAATCACTCCCTCCCCTTTCAAAAAAAAAAAAAAAATCTTTTCCCCCATCCCACACGCCCCCTCTACCTACCTAGACCCATATGCTTAAACATTGCCTCCAAGGAGACAATTGCTAGATCTGACCAGAAATCTACCATAGACAACATACAACGACTACTCTATCAAGTGTTATATCGAATCAATGCCATTGAGGAAAGAAATCAGGGCGGATTTATTGTCAACCATAATAGTGAAAGAAGAACACATGAATCCCTTCAGTAGTAATGAATCCAGTCAATAAGAAGACAAGGCACAACACTTTGGGGTGTTGTATTAGTGGTGGCCTAGAGATGAGATGCCTACTAGAGGAGATGTAGTCTGTTAGAGGATGTAGAGATGGAGCGTCTGCTAGAAGATATAAAGATGATGCTATTGGAGGGTACATTGATTTGGGGATGAAGGTGGACTCTTCCGAACTTTGAGGGGAGTGGATTCATATGATTTTCTCAAATGGATGCAGAGTGTTGAGTGGATCTTTGAATCTAAGGATGTGCCCTATGACAGAAGAGTGAATCTCACCACTATCAAGCTAATGAAGAATGCTTCTTTGCAGTGTGAGAACTTGGAGAGGGAGAGACAGAGAGAATGACGTGACATAATCACTTTAGAGAAAATGAAAGCAATGCAATGACAAGACCTGCCACCTCACTACAGCAAGGATGTTTTCTTGAAACTCCACTTTCTATAACAGGAGCTATTGGTGGAGTACACGATGGAGTTTATGTTGCTCAAGCTGAAATGTAATTTTATATAACCAAGGAACACCCCATAGCCAAGTACTTGGGAGGCCTGAAGCTCACCATCAGTAATGTGGTTCAACTGTAATCTCATTAAACACTGAGGGATCTGCAGACCTTAGCACTGAAAGTGGAGAGACAATAAAAGTATAGCAGACAACCCGTAGTTGGAGACATTAGTAGGAACACTCTTCAGGGAGTTGAGAAGATTGGTCATGATAAAGAAAAAGTCACTCAATGAGAAGAAGTTCAAGAAGAATAACATGTCCATTACAGTCGCAGCCAGGAAATGCTTCAGATGTCATGGATTTAGGCACATCGCCTCTAGTGGCCTGATAGACCGAGTTATATCCTTTACCGAGCAAGGTGTAATGGAAGAAGTGAGCGACAAAGAGGCGACAGAAGAACAAGGTGAGGAGTACCAGCTTCCACTAGATGAGGGTGAGATTTTGGTGGTTCGACGAGCCCTTTAGACTGAGGCTACAAGGGAACTGCAGTGGCTTTACCACAATATATTCTACACCCATTGCACTTTGAAAGTAAAGATATATAGTCTCATCATCTATGGAGGGAACAACATGAATGTGGTGTCTACACATATGGTGGGCAAGTTAAGCCTCATGACTCAGAAACATTCCCAACTATACTACCTAATGTGGTTAAGGAAGAAGAATAAAGTCTGCATTGACAGGAAGTGCCTCATTAAATTTTTGATTGAGAGTCAGTTGCAGGACCAAGTTTGGTGCGACGTGGTGCTCATTGATGTCTGCCATCTGTTGTTAGGGAGACCGTTGCGGTTTGATTGCTCGACTTAACCTTACAGCTTTACGAACAACTACTCCTTCACCAAAGGTGGTAAGTCCATAGTTCTTCTATCTTCGTCAGATTCCCACGTGTTGCTCCCCTCCTTCCTGCCTCCTCCAACCCATTTTTAGCCCCTACTTCCCCTTAAACCGCAACAACTTCATCTTTGCCCTTAGCCTTAGTTGAGTCGTGTTGTGTCTTTGTTATTTCTTAGTTCCAAGTGTCTTTGATTGTAACTCTATTTGCTTTTTCAGTAATAATATTTGTTTTTACTTCTATGGTTTGGGTTAACTCGAGTATCACATATGGGCACTTATTCCCATAAATTATCGCTTCCATTTCCTGGAGAGCACTAATGATTAAAGAGATTGCTTAGGCTTGTGTTTTAGGTATATATTTTGTATTTTGATGTGAACTTAATTGATTGAAGAATGATTTGAATGATGGAAATACACTCAATCAAGATAGCATGGTTTTATCATCATGAGAATAACAGTGAATCTACTTTATCACATTCAGTATGTTAAAAATCATAATTTTCAAGGAGCTTAGTTAGCAATTCTGAATTGCCTCCTCTAAGGTATCCAACGTAGGTTGGTATAAATATATATGTGCCAAAAATTGTTGATCCTAAAAATTTCATTGAATGGTTTGAACGGATGCAACATAGCTGTTTGAGATTTAGAGATATTATAATTAAATTTGGGTGTGAACTATGTCAACCGTGCTAGGCTCATAAATGAGCTTGCAGGCCATATTTATCGAGCTCAAATGCCATCCTTGAGCTCGAACTGCTCATTAATTAAGGGGTTGTTTGGTTTGTTGAAAATGAAATCTAATGAAAATGTTTGCAGAATATTATGATTACAATATATTTGAAATACTTTCGAGTTGTTTAATTTATTGTAAGATAAATGTATGATTTTATATTTTTTGTTTGATCTGAAGTAGATTGAAAATAATGTATTTCCAAATATATTTTTTCGTTTAGTGGTTGGGGGGTGGGAGGTGACAAGCGGCCGACATTAGTGGGTTGGTGGGATATGCTGCAAACAGCTGGCGGCTTGGTGTGGGGAGGTGGGGGGGTCGCGGAGGGAGGCGGTTGGGGGCGCGGCCGACAACAGTGGTTTAGTGGGGACGACGGTTGGCCAACAAACTGCGTGGGGGCAGGTGGTGGCTGCAGCAGTAGGCTGGCCACAACAGTGATGGCGACAAACGATGGTAGTAGGGGCAGGTAAACTGCAATGGTGGCAGGCGGCGATAGCTATGATGGTGGCAGGCGACAAAGACAGCAGGCAGCGGTGGTTGCAGTAGCTATGGGCAGCCGATGGTTTGTCGATTGCATTTTACATGAACGGTATAATTCATATTTGGCAAAATCGGCTAAATTCTAAATTCAGCCAAAATGAATTACGATGTAAACTTCAAATTTATTTATACTTTATTTTGCTTTTTTTATTTCTTCATTCCAAACGCAATTTTTTCAAATCATGGCAAAAGAATTACAATATACTATAAATTCACTCAACCAAACAACCCCTAACTCATTAGCATGCACTCACCACACACACACATGCAAGGCGCACACACACACCCATGTAGTGCACCTATACCTCTGTAGAACTGTCCGCTCCTTGTTCGACCATTGATGCCCC